CTTCCTCTTGAGGTTTAAATTATTTAATCAAATCATCACCATTGCTCTTCCGCCTCGCCTAGATAATAAGATTTGACATGTAATGTCATTTTTTTAATTTCTGTTGTATTTTTTATGTGGACAAATGTACACCGATGATTCAATGGAACTATAACAATTTGTTCTGATTTCTTTCTGAGTTTCAAGCCCTTCCTTTCTTTTTAATTTTTTTAGCAATTTGTGTGCAAAACAACCATGCTATTGAAATATATTACAAGCCTGTAGAAAAGGCAAGGATCTTTCATAAATTTGCGATGTGATGTTGAGTTTCCTAATGGCAAATCCCTGTACAAATAGTGGCTTTCTGCAATTTAAATTAATGGGTATTGGGTGATGATAAAGTCATTGAAAGGGGCAGTGCTCCATTGGAAACACAATACTTTTCTTCAAATATAGAGTAAACCATCACTAGTAAAATATATTATGGCGTTTGTTGACCTCTCTTTAAAACTCATGCGGAAATGGTCACAAGCCCGTCACGCTTCAGGGAATTGCTAGGCACCCGCCCCATTGTTAAAAGTCCAACAGACCTGTTCATAGTCGACCTGTCTGACGGACTAGCCATGGACCGAGGAATTTCGGCTAGGTCTGGTTGAGAAGTTCGAGCCCATCGGTCTGGTTCTGTCAAGGTTTGGGTTTGTAGTCTGCCCGAAATTATAGCAATTTATGGTAACCAATTTTTTTTCATTTTTGTACTTGAACTTTCTTTTTTAATTACAACTTTCAATGTCTAATTAATGACGAATTTATTAAACTTTGTTAAGGACAAAAAAAATCAACAATAAAGGACCAAAGACAGGAGAAATTCTGTAGCAAGTTTAAAATTAGATTAAAAAAAAGGTTAGTCTACTTAATTTATTTTCTTAATATTTCAATTCGTGTGTTTGAAAAAAGAGAAAAAAAATTGCATAAAAACAATGAAATAGAAAAGGTTGGTAAATGATTATTTTAGGAAATTCACAGCTTTTAATACTTCACTTAATGCAAATATTTTTTATATTTTTCTCATTAACATAAAAACTTTAAATACAATTGAAAATAACAATTGACCAGATTATAAGAACTCAAACCATAAAAATAGTGTAACTATGATATTGATATTCAGCTAACAACCCAAGTTAAAAACTTATTTTTTAGCTAAAATACTAGGCTGTGAATCAACTAATTAAGAACAAGTCTTAACCTGATGCCATGAATAATTATTGGACTTAATATTAAAATTAACTAAACTCAAGTTGACTCTAAACTTTACTAAATTAAATAATAAGTAATTAATATTGGGATTTTTATACAGACTATGACTCTTCCCTATCAATTATTTTATAAGGAAAATTCATTGTTATGGTTTTTTCTCTAAAAATATTTAAAAAAAATAGATCAGACATAGTTTACACTTATTTTATTTACTTGATTTTTTTTTTTAGTAATATTGAGGTGTTTAAGATTGGTAGGTGATTTATAAAAGTTTTTATTGTGTTTCTTAAAAAGTTTGTAGGTGATAATGGCTTGAAAAATGGATTTTTAGGCACCCTTCCTAATTTCTCAATAACCATGGCGATAACTGGATTTTGAGCAATAGCAGAAAACGTGTCCCAGTTGTATTTTTTGAGTAATTTTTTGCTTATTAAAAATTTATTAACTCTAACTAGATTTTTCTTACATTAAAAAAAATTCTGACTCGCAGCATGGTATAAGACAACGATCTAGTAGATATTAGATAGAAATATTTAAATTTTGAAAATATATTTAAATACTTTACATTGTATTTGGAATTTGAATTATATAATTTCAAGTTAATTTATCTTTAAATTTAAATTAAAGTTATACATATTGAATTACTATCTTGGATTTTTATACACATACATATATCAATAATGAAATAGCAAACCAAAATGCTCTAAAAATAAAATATATTATTCCAAAAAATAAACACTAAGCAAAACAAAATTAACAATATTGATTCAAATTATCTATCTCACACAAGTTGAAAGTACTAGGCTTAATAACTTTCAAGATTTATGTAGGATTTTTTTTCCCTTTCTTTAGATATATGTGTTTTTGAAAATATAAAAATTCACTATAAAATTATCACAAAAATATATTTATTTTATTATTTTTTTAATCAAATATATTTTTGTCTCGATATTTTTATTTTTTCTATCATGAGATAATACCTAAACATTATCACAGTGCTAAATTTACTAGAACTTGGATGTTAATTACAAAAGTAAAGACACAGTATTCAAGCCAAACACAACATTATTTATATTATAAAATACATAATTATAATTAAACATATTATGAGAAAAAAGATGATAAAAATAAATAAATAAATAAAAGTCATAATAATAAAAATTGTTTATTATATCATAACAAATGATACACTAGTGTTGTTTATTATATAAAGATTGCAAATCTAAATTTTATACCTCTCAAATCGAAGTGTGGTCTATCTTACCCGCTAAGATCTACCAAATTGTATAAGTTTATAAATTTCTATTTAATATTTTAAAAAAATCAAAATAACTTGAAAGTTTGGTTTCATTATATTCACATGGATTTGTTCCAAAGCTTTACGCACACCTTGCAGCTCGGTTACACCCACCTCTCAAATCTTTTAACAATCCTAGTTAAATTTTATCCATATCTTTTTTTTTCATTTTCTTTTAACTGTTTTTATATGTTTAGTATTATAATATAAAGTGATTTTTAATTGAAAATATATTAAAATATTACAAAGTGATTTTTAATTGAAATTATATTAAAATATTTTTTTATAACACTAAAAATTTATTAATTTAATATTTTTTAAATCAAATATACTTTTAAAAAATACTCAAACACAAGTAAAAATAAACTATCACGCACGCATATAGTTGTAACCCATAACTCTTTAATGGGATTAAAATTTTTGTCAAAGTCATTTATGTGAAGTGAAGTGTGTGTTTGGTGTTGTGGATGTGTTTACAAAAAAACATGATTGTCATGTGTTTGATTACGATTTAAATGCACGTTACTACTTATGAGATCTGCGGTTAAACCACAAAACAACCAAAAGCAACTTCAAGCTGCCTTTTGTGCTGAGTTGCAAGTTGTGTTTGTAGACATGATAAATAGAGACGCGAAAGAAGAAAAACAAAAATAAAGCAGTGAACAGTGAACAGTGAACAGTAGAGAGTAACTCCCTCAGCTCTAAGTGAAGTGTGTGTTTGGTGTCGTGGATGTGTTTACAAAAAAACATGATTATCATGTGTTTGATTACGGTTTAAATACACGTTACTACTTATGAGATCTGCGATTAAACCACAAGACAATCAAAAGCAACTTCAAGCTGCCTTTTGTGTTGAGTTGCAAGTTGTGTTTGTAGACATGATAAATAGAGACGCCGAAGAAGAAGAACAAAAACAAAGCAATGAACAGTAGAGAGTAACTCCCTCAGCTCACCACCGGCCTCCACTGTTTTCACTGCTCTTCCTCTTTCCC